AAAGATCAAACAGCGCGGTCTTCGTTCACACCAGCTAAATAGCAGGCTGCAACCCTTTTGTATCCTTTTCTCCTTTTGTAATATGTTGTAATGGGAAGGGGGGCTTGAGGCAACTCCAAGTTGAAGCGTTCTGACAAGGTTCCAGCGATAAGATGCGATACAGTAAGCGCTAAGGCCGAAGCAAAGGATTTGACAACTCAACGGAGTTCCATCGCTTCGTAACACAGGTTCGCTTGTGCACAACACTGGTCACCACTGGTCTATTGGCTCTGAGAATGGCGTGCTTCTTCAAACGAAAGAAGCGTTTTGTGTTATTTTTTTTTGCGTCAAGACATGAGCTGCAAGGCAGTCTGCATGGCATGTTTGTTGGAACTCTTCGTTGCACCAAGGGGCATCGCTACTAGTAACTAGGGCATTACTACTTGTAGCAAGAAGCTACGAACGTAGCAAGGGCATTACGACTAGTAGACTCTGGTGTGAGCTGACGAGCCGATGGCTCCGACGAGTCGTGTCGAGACACTTCCAGGCCCTTTGGCGATGACACCTGGTATCTGCAGGTCAAAGTACCTTTGCAGAACGAGAAGAAGGTGAGGAGCTGTGGTAGCTTGTGGTAACATATGGTACCTGTGCATGAGGCAGGTGAAGATCGGCAGGTGAAGCTGTGAGAACATCACTCCAGAGATCTTTGGTGCTTGGACTGCATGAGGAGTTTTCAGAGATCAAAGAGCTTTTGCACCGCATGGCTTTTGATCTGGGTGCAGTGAGCACTTCGGATGAGGGCGGCTTGGGCGAGGAGGGGCGCTTCGCTCTTGGGGTGAACTGGAGCTAAAGGTATCCATCCTAGAAGGCGAACGAGCGCCTCAGGCATTTGCTTATGGTATGCATCAAGAGTTATCAAGAGTTCTATGCTGGCGACTGGAGAGCTTCTTCCATGGAAAGGAATCAATATATAAGACATTGTAAATTGTATCTATATATAGATTGCGAAGACCTAATCCATGTGGTCTTCCGAAGACCCTCATCCTCTACAACATCTTTGCGTCTTTAATACTAGAACAAGCCACAGCCGTGACCTCCTTGTTTTCCATGGATTTTGGTTCCGTCCAACCAAATTGACTATTGCATCTCCCACCTACCCCCTTCCAACATCTTCCAACCCTGCTTTGCATGACACCAAAGACCACCATACACTTCCCCCCCCCAGTTCCCCAGCCCCTCCCCCGCCCCCAATCACTCCGTGCACCTCCACGTGAGGAGCAGCTCCGTGCGCTGGAGCGGCTGCAGCGCCTGGAGCAGCGCTTCGCCGGCTCCGGCGTCACCGAGAGCGAAGCCCGGAACGCGCTGCGGCTCTTCGAGCGCGAGCTCTCGAAGGCCGGACGAGCACATTGCTCTTAGCCGTTTCGAACGGAAACGGGAGACCGCGGAGGGTGGTGGAGTGGGGTGGAGTGGGGTGGAGTGGAGCAGGTTGGAAGATGTTGGAAGGAATGTGATGGAGGTGCCTGAGTGAAGAAATTTTGCTCATCCTTGGACGGTCAAACAGCATGGCAGCAAGAGTTTTCGCTCACCAAGCCAACTGTTTGGACCAGAGAGTGACAGCCCTTTTCAATCCTTTTCATGGCATTTTGCAGGGTTCGGAGGTGAGTGTCTTGAGCATCCAGCGACCAGGGTCTTGGAAAGTGAGCATTCCAGTCAGCGAGGCCAACTGGAGCGAAGAGAAGTTTGCGCGCCTGGGCATCAATGCGCGGGTGGACAGTCGTTGATGAATGTGTTGTTGTCCGCTGACGCCAGGTCCCATAGGCTAGCGACCAGCTTCGTGATGGATACGATGCGATAAGCAAAAGGCATCATCATTGTGACTTTGAAAGCAGTGAACAGTACCTGTTGTGGAGAGTTGTCACCGACGTATGCTTTGGTCAATATCTTCAATACCATCCGCAAAGCAAATCTCCAGCAACCAATCAACGTCAACAATAACAATAAACTCCTAAAAGCATTTGTTCTCAGACGACCTTTCTGTTTTTCAGGTCTTGTAGTGTGGATCGTGGTGAGAGGCTTCAATGAACAGGTTGCCCTGACAAGTGTTCGTGCAACGAACATGAAACGACGTATATATATATATATATAAAAATAACAATATAATAATAATAATAATAATAATAATAATAATAATAATAATAATAATATATATATATATGTATGTAGATCATTTTTCATACATGTTACATGTTCATAATGTTCTACATGTTCTACGGGTTTACATTCTCCTTTCCGCCCACGCAGACATGACGCTCGTGAGCTCAGAAAGCTGAAGCGGCAGCTCGCGGGCGCGGAAGAGTGGTCAGCGGCGGATCTGGTGGCCGAGTGCTGTGTGAGATGGACGGAAGGCATACATCGGGACCACGGTGGAGGGGACGGTTATTGTTGGCACGGAAGTTTTTAGGAACATCTAAGCCTAAGCAAGTATCTAAAGAGAAGGCAAGTCAGAAACCCTAAGCCTAAGTGGTTGGAGAGCGGGAAACATCAGACTTGCTAAACTCGGAGGGTCCTTCGAGTTGGAGCTTCGGTTTCGACAGAGACTGTGGTTGTATGTGGTATTTGGTGGAGACTGTGTCTCCTTTTTTGGGAGACGGCGATTTCGGCTTCGTTGGCAGCCCCGTCCTTTTGCTCCTTGATCCGGTCCTGTGTTCAGCTGAACAACAACGCAACGAGATCATTGGCTCAGTTTTGTATCCCCAAAAATCTGAAGATGAAGCTTCTTAACCCATGGCCCATTGCACCAAGAGTAAGACTTCACTCCCTTGAAAGAGGTAGTTAAGCGATGTTATGCGATGTTAGCAATCTGATCAAGCGATTAGGAATAGGGTTGTTGCATTGTTTGAAGACGTATATCAACATCAGAAACCGTATTTGTCAAAAAAACATGGGTTTTATCAGAACAATATTGATCGGCTCATAGGGCGGATTATAGATGTGGCCGGTGTGGATTGATGGTCCTTATTCCGGTTCTCTTCGGGGGGGTAGATGGCTTGACATGACGGGATAGCGAGGACGATATGGCCAACCACCAATAAAACCAAAAGAAGGGCAAAATCTGAGCTGGATCATGCTTATGGCGCCGTTGATCTTCGGGTTAGAACCTTGATGATCAGTGGTACTTACTGTACCATAACCTTCAAGTCATACATTTGGTGACCCCAAATAGTTTCGAACGGCGACTCTAAGGTCTACACATATTGAACTATACAATCATAAGACCTATCAATTTGGGGGACCTGGACAGGCGTTAAAACACCTCACCACTGGTGGACATCACCTGATGGGAACCCCCCCTCCGCCTGGTTCTCTGCCAGGCAAACGCCGTCAGGCCTGGTTCTCCAGCGCCTGCGCACGCCTGGCAGCTCCTTTGGGCATCGAGTCGGGCTACACGGAGAACGGAGGCGGCACCGGTGGCGGTGTCAACAACGGGAGACCTGACTGGCAGAGCTGGTTGGAGAGGGGACCAAGCACTTGTAGGATTGGCTGTGCCAGGTCCATTGCAGCTATTACACATCACACCGAGGACTTTGGTAGATCTGCTGGCCGTCGCACCGCCGTCGTCGCTGTCGCCGGTCTACAGCTCAGACGTCGTCACCGAGGCGTCGCCCGTGAGTTTATCCGTCGCTGGGTGCCACCTAAGCCGGCCAAGCATGGGCCAGCATTTGGTAGACGAACTTCCTGGTTGGGAGCTACCAATTCTTCTACAGCTAGGAGCTGCTATGGGTTCATCCACTTGTCACAGTCTGGGTCCAGGTGAACTATATATATATAAATACAAAAGGAAGTACAACAGGTACCAAGCCAGAGCTGTATGGGCCCGTTTGAGAATAGCCAACCCCCGAACTGTTTGACGAGCATGTCTTTTTCATGATTTCTCCAATTATACCATTGTACTATAATATATTATATGTAATTAGTATATCGATGAATTATCGATCAATATATCATAGCTCCTGCTCATGAAAGTTAAAGTGCTTCTCGCGAGGCTGCTGCTTTGTGGGGCCGCTCTCGTCCTCGTTGGGCGCCGCGCTGACCGCGACCTTGGTGTCGCACCTGGGGCACCTGGGCGATCTGGGCTGTAGATGGGACCTTGATGGTGGGGTATAGAGTGGTGTAGAGTCAGTTACCTCACAAAAGGCAAAAGCAAACATCTGAGATCGGAGGACACCAGCTCCGCTTCACAGGACATGGATGAACGATGTAAGCAACATGCGGATTCTGTTGCGACATGCGCCGGTCGATGCGGGCCGCGTCTTCTCGTGCAAGATTCTCTCCGAAGGCACTTGGACCTTCGTCAGCACCAGAAGCAGCAGAAGAGGATCTCGGTGCCGCAATTCTTGCAGGGCTTCGTGGTCGGGGGCCCGGGGCTTTTGCGCAGTTCGGCTCGGTCCACCTTGGCAATACTGTCGTAGAAGGGCTGTTGTTAATTAGTTTGGACAGGACACAAAGGAAGACATATATATATATATAGATAGAAAAGGAGTAAGATATTTGCAGCCAAAGCCAGACAGATTCTTCCATTTCCATAGAAGGAAGAGATGCCAGTTGTTTGCTCATTGGGCTCGAGCAGCTTTTGACCGCCACGGATTGAGCCCATTTTTTGTCTCTTTGGATTGATGACTGTCTTGGGAAATGCAGGACATTGTCCCATCAACCTCAGAGTTGCAAAGTGGTTTGACAACAAGTTTGAGCAAATTTCCCTTGTTCTTCTTGTTCAAAGATGTAGTGGTCCTGCAAGTGTCGTCCTGGCATGGGCTTCATTGTCAATCCATCTAACATCAATTGTGGTCGTTCTTCTTTCCTTTGAGGACACTAGATGAAATCGTGGTGTAAGAAACCACTTCAGTTACAGATTCATTTAGATCATCATCATCATCATCATCATCATCGTCATCATCGTCGTCATCATCATCATCATCATCATCATCATCATCATCATCATCATTCCATCGCATTTCAATCAGTATACGACTACCTCGTGGACCGAAACCTGGGTCCGACCGGGGTCGAACTTCGCTTTTTGCCCCATGGCGCCATGACGAGCTTGACCGCCCCATGGACACCCGGTGGGGGGTCCTGGAGAACGATGCGGGCGAAGAAAATGGATGACATCGTGAGAGAAACTAGTAGTAAGGCCAGGAGCCCCTAGTAGCGCCCTTGCTCCGTTCGTAGCGATGCCCTTTGTCCCCTAGTAGCGTCCTTGCTCCGTTCGTAGCGATGCCCTTTGTTACTAGTAGCGATGCCCTTTCTCCTGGTAGTAAGGCCAGGAGCGCCCCTAGTAGCGTCCTTGCTCCGTTCGTAGCGATGCCCTTTGTTACTAGTAGC